CAAGGTTTATAAAAAAATGTTTAATATAAAAGTTATAGGGATGGTTAAGATACACATTTTATAATTATTATAGAGTATACAAGGTGCTTCAAAAAAGTGTGGCGGCTATAACATGTTTTTTTAAATGCAACACCCTATTCTTTATTTTATTTTTAGATTCTGCGTAAAATTCCATAACTTTTTTATATATAATGTTATATACCTAAAATTAATAGTTTTTGTAATATTTCAATTTATTTAAACAAATGTTTAATTGCAGTGTGGTAAAAAATTGTCAGTGGTGCTATTGTTTCTGATGTTGGAGTACCAAAATTTGGTAGGAGAGTTTTATAGAGATGGAAAAAAAAGATATATGTAAAAGATATTTTAGTTAAATGATACAGGGTGTTCAAAATATTTTTCTGAATTTCAACTACTTAAAATTAAAAAATCTTAATTTTTTAAATGACACCCTATATATTATAATTTTTTTCTGATAGATTTTACAAAACTCTTCAACTTTTATTAAGTATGTCATATACCTATTTTTAATTGTTTGCGATTTATTCCCATTTTTCTATTTTTACCCATATTTTTTAATACAATTACCCTATAGAATCATAGTTGCCATGACAAAACAAAACTCTTTATTACTTACCTTTAACAAGTAGCTTCATAATTAGTTACAGTTCCTGGTATTAGTTAAAATTAATTAACTTTACTCAAATAGACTAAATCGCAGTAGTGAATTTCTTGTGTATTTCTATATTATGATAAATGACACTTGGGATTTTTCGTCGAGGCGAATAGCCACAGATTAGCGTAATACTAGATTACCTAATTGCTAAAGACTACTGATATAGGAATTTTCTTCGACCTACAGTAAAAAATTTTTCTCGTAGTAATTCTGGTTTATAAATTTGGTAAAGCCAATTTACTACTGCCGCGAAACCGTCCCATTACACACTGAAAATGTTTTCTAGATAATATACATCTATTCTTATAGTAGTTAGCAAAGTACTATATAATATGTAGTACTGAACCAAAAAATGTGGTTTTCTAGGCTTGTCCGTGTATATCAGTCACATTGACTAATTCATTTCAAGAAAATCTGTAACTATTATCTCTACCATTTATACTTATAACAACAAATTAAACTAAAATTCAAATTTTGTTCTTAACTTGCTTAACGGACATGAAATTGTGATAATTATTACTTTTTGTCATGGCAACTATGTTGTTATAGCGCAATTGTATTAAAAATATGGGTAAAAATAGAAAAAATTGGAATAAATTGCGAAATAATAAAAATAGGTATATGACATACTTAATAAAAGTTGAAGAGTTTTGTAAAATCTATCAGAAAAAATGATAATATATAGGGTGTACCATTTAAAAAAATTGAAATTTCTTAATTTTAAGTAGTTGAAATTCATAAATATATTTTGCACACCCTGTAGCGTTTAACTAAAATATCTTAACATATATCTTCTTTTTAATCTCTATAGAACTATCATACCAAGTTTTGTATTCCAACTTCAGAAACAATGGTACTACTGGCAATTTTTTTTTTTACCACACTGCAATTTAACATTTGTTTAAACAAATTTAAATATTTCAAAAACTGTTAATTTTAGGTATATAACATTTTATATAAAAAAGTTATAAAATTTTACGCAGAATCTAAAAATAAAATAAAAAATAGGGTGTTGCCTTTAAAAAAACATGTTATATCCGCCACACTTTTTTGAAGCACCCTGTATACTCTGTAATAATTTTAAAATGTGTATCTTAACCTTCCCTATAACTTTTATGTTAAACATTTTTTTGTAAACCTCGAAACAAATGAGATAATGGACTTTACTCTTTGTTGACTCACCCTGTACAACGAACTAGTAGACAGAAAAGACATTCTAATAAATAGCACAGCACTAGAAATAGTAGAAGATTAAATATATTCGGGACAACTAATACTAGAGCTCACCAGAAATCAAGAGAAGAATTACGTTAGCATGGAGTACTTATGGAAGAAACTCAATCATATTCAAATCCAGAATGCCACTTTAAAGAAAAAGATCTAAGAAAACATTCGACCAATGTGTACTATCAGTTATGACCTTGGCAGGCGAAACCTGGACAATTAAAACGGACATTATAAGGAAACTGCAGGTCGCACAACGCTCAATGGAACGAAATATGCTGGGAATAACCAAGAGAGATCATAAAAGAATAGAGTGGATACGACAAAAGACCCTAAGAAGTCAAATCCCTTAAGTGGCAATAGGCAGGATACCTGGCAAGAAGGACGGCCAACAGATGGGCCAGAAAAATTACAACATGGTACCCACAAGGAATTAAGAGACCTAGAAGACCATGATATTAGGAAATTAGCAGGGATAACTTGAGCTCGCATAGCCAACAATAGACAACAATGGGCCCAACTACAAAGAGATTGTCTAAATACGTGAGGGAAGCTACGCCATAGAGTTTGTTGAAAAATATGTTGATGATGACTACAGGTAAGAAAGTATCTTCTTACAGCTACATAATTTTCTATATTTTTAAATATGTTTTTTTTTTATTTTTTAGATAAAATCATCTGCATCGTACAAATAAAATATATTGGATGTCTAAGTAAGAAATTTTATGAAAAAAAAACGTATAAATATGTGGCAAACTTGTGAGTTATTTTGGTAAACCATAATATTTTTTATCTACCATCGTTAGGGTTGTGCCACTTGAAAATTTCAAATGAAATTTTCATGTCGGCAACTTTTCCAATGTGATATTTTCAAAAAAGTGAAATTTCATTGAAATTTCAAGTGAAAGTTTCAATTCGAATTTTTCAGCATGGAGGTGAAATTTTCAGAATTGTATCGTGAAATTTCAACTTACAGGTGAAATTTCAAGTGAAATTTTCATAAACCTCGCGAACTCCTTTATCGTGTTCGTATGTCGACCGTATCGACGTAAGTATCGATCGTTGATTTGCTCGATTTACTTGCGCGTCTGAAGAGGACCTGCGCGGCACGGCGCTTGGCATTGAAAATGAAAAACCGCAGTAGATGTAGATAGATAGAGGTTATGATTTTCGTTGAAAACTTTGAATAAGAAGACTAAAGAAGGAGCATATCAAAAATCTTAGGTCCACCGCGATGGGCCTCAAATATGGCCGACTTAAATTCCGGTTTATCAGTGCCGTTCTAATTGTATTTAAAAAATGTAAAACTATAATGTAGACGTGGGGTAGACTCAATATTTTTGTTTTTATTTTACGTTGTGAATAAATGTTGGTAGTTATTAAAACTGTTATAAAAATATAAAATTCTAATAAAAATAGATAAGTTATAATAATTATTTATAACCATAAACATCCGATACGCTACTGAAGCAGGTAAATCAAATTGACGTATCTAAATTCTTTGACATCTAATCTTTGACAAGTAGTAAATAAAAGCAAAAATGCAAGAAAAAATATATAATTAGTTAATTTAAGTGAATTTCATAAATGATCGGTTTACTACACGTATGTATATTATATAGTCACTTACTAGCGAAAAGTTGTTCCATTATTTCACTCGATTTTTGCCGAGATCTACCGCACGCTACACAACGAACTATTTTAGAGTCTTTTTCGATAAATCGCGATAGTGTCACTGTTAATTTAAGTTTTTTTAATTAAAGTTTTTACCTACAACTATCAGTAGTAGAATAAATAATAATAATAATAATAGCTCCCGTATATAGCGTTTAATGCCTTGGGAGTAGCAAGGTACAGCTTGCTATACTAGAGCCGTTCGGTATACAAGGAAGGTAATGTGGCTAGCACTACGCTTCAACCGCCTATTATTACCTCAGGATTGTGAATCCCAAGTACTCATTTAAGGCTGAGTCGACCTAGGTACCCAAACTATTTTTATTTTAATAAAAATAGTCGGCTGATGAAATGCCGGGTGTGGGAATCGAACCCACACCTTGAGATTGCTAGACGAGAGCCTGTACCTCTACGCCACCGGGCACCTTCGTAGAATAAATAATAAATAACATAAAATAAGCTCCGTAAAGACTGACAAATCCACAAAATTTCAAATCAAATTCAAATGTGTCAAATGAATCGTCAAACAGAACTGTCAAGGATCCCCACCCTAGAGTCCTTTTTCCGCCCACCATGCATGAATACATGGATAGCATTATGCTCCTTTCTTAGTCTTCTTATTCAAAGGTTGAAAATGTTGATGTATTATTAGATTTGTTACTTTTGTGCATTTTTTGTGTTTCACATTTCATAAAGTTTATTCTGTGACCTGTGTTCTGTGTTGATTCCAATTTTTAAAGAAATAATGGTTAAGCCCAAAAATAGTATTTGGAGATATTTCTCTAATGATTTCTAATGCCAAAAAAGTAAAGTGCATATTTTGTAATGAAATTCATTACAAAAATGCAATTCGTTTAGAAAAACATTTTTGTAATTTAAAAAAAAATTGTAATTTTCATGAAATTTCAATGAAATTTCCAATGTGAAATACTTAATTGTCAATATTTCAGGAAATTTATAAAATGTTCACTGAAAATTTGAAATTTTGAAATTTTCACTGAAATTTCCAAAATTTCAATCTTTCAGTGAAAATTTCATTATGAAATTTCAACATAAGGTGAAAAATGAAATTTACCCATCCCTAATCATCGTTTAGTTATAACGTTTTTACATCACTATTTTTTTAGTATTTCAGTTACGTTATGAGATTCACAACACAACTAGTGGTGTTATGAATCTATAACACAACTAGTTTTTATAATAATGACAATTCCCCACAATTATAATTAAAAAAAATGTGAATAGTCATTGTCAAAATGCCATAGTTAAAGGTGTTAAAGGTGGGCGACTAGTAAACGAAAATTAAAACAGAATTTTCTTATTTTTCGGTTGTAGATAAAACGTTGTATATGACACGTGCGTTTAAACATGATTACAACACTCGTGTGATTAGAACGACGAGGTCGTAGACCGAGTCGTTCTAATCGTTCACACCCGTTGTTGTAATAATGTTCATAAACACATTTGTACTGTAAATAACTATTATTATTATAAGACAAAATTGTAGTTTATAATTATATTTGAATTTTTATGGTCATTATGTCAATACTAATACTTTTTTCTTTTTTGTATCAAACTTCTAGGGAATATTTATCGGAAATCTGAATCCAATTATATTTTCCTTCACCACCATAAAGTTAAGAAAATCTTAGAAAATGGAAAGAAGAAACAAATATATGAGCATGAATAGGAGTAGAAGATAAAATTTTAAGATATTAGTAGCAGCTGCTAAATTATTTTGATTTTTGAAATAGTTACTCGCTACGGTGAGAACAAAAATTATTACTTTATATTATTTTTTAACCTCGTATTGTTACCTTTTCTTAAGATTTTATATGAGTATATTATTAAATGATATATTATTAAACTCTTCAAAAAACTAATGTTTATTTAATATTTCAGGTTAAAACTATGTTGGATGTACCTTCTTGCAAGAATTTGAAGATGGGAGGCAGTTGTGAAGCGATGGTCTTACAAAAAATAGGTAAGCATTTTTAACTTATCTTTTGTATCTCCTAAACTCTCTGGCTTCTCTAATATATTATTTATTGATATTTTTCTTTTCATTTTAGATCATTTTTTTGGAAATGTACATTAAAACAGGGAAAAAAAGATATAGAGTTGATAATGGACGACACAAAAGTAGCAGTAACAGTATTGTAGTCTGGTATCACAGGATATTGCGACACCCTCAGCACTATAATTATTTTAATAGATCATTTGTGTATAGAGCAATAAATTTATATTTTATGTTGAAATAAAGGAATAATATATTTTCTTTTATCTGTTATTTTTTCTAAGGTTTTAAAAATGCAATAAAAAAATTTGGTACTTTTAGAACCATACCTTCTACGGTAGATTATATTAAAAACTAACATCTTATTTTTTGTAATATAAACGCAAATCCATGCAATACAATTTGAAATGATTGATATTATATTGTCCAAAAATACTTAAAATACAAAAAAATATTCTATGGCACAAAATAAGACACAAATGATTTTTCTATAACGTTGAATTTTACTTCTGCAGGTTTAATATTAAAAATATAAATAATATAAACTACAAATAAGTAAATGTATGGAAAGATACAAGCAAAATTAAACCATACATTCATATATAAAAAATTACAGGAACAGTATAAAAACTAAAGGTTTTTTTTCTAAAATAAATTTAAAAAATCTCATATTTTATTATTATCTTATTAAAAATTATTATTTACGGATTTTTTCTTATTGGTTTTAACAATTATTTTGTATCATCAATATGACACATTTATTACATCCAAGTTGTTAATTTCTAGTAATTTACCGGCAACAGTAATTTTGATTAAATGTATTGAAGTACTACCGTATGAGGAAGTCTTAGAATATTATAAATACCAATTTGATAATTTTTAAGATATAAATTACAGTGACAAAGCTTAACTTTTTTATACAGATTGTTAACTGGACGGTTATTTATTGGGGAACAGAATGGCAACACTGCCTACATTCCAAATGAGTACTAAGCTAAGCTGTCGACTCGTCCCGTCGCGTCGTCTCTCGACGAGCGGGCTGAGGTTGCCGTATTTCAACCATAAGCGAGTAATAAACAATTAACAACCTGTATATAATGTTATATACCTAAAATTAATAGTTTTTATAATATTAAAATTTGTTTAAACAAATATTAGATTGCGCAGTGTGGTAAAAAATTGTCAGTGATGCCATTGTTTCTGAAGTTGGAACTAAAATTACACGAAGGACAACTAAAATTTGGTAGGAGAATTTTATAGAGATATAGAAAAAGATCTATGTAAAGATATTTTTACAGTTAGATGCTGATAGATTTTACAAAACTCTTCAACTTTTATTAAGTATGTCATATGCCTATTTTTTATAGTTTGCGAGTTATTCCATTTTTTTCTATTTTTGCCCATATTTTTAATACAATTTTCAATCAAATTTCTCATGTCATAAAACTCCCAGACGTCAATTTTGTTTTTATTTATCTATCTATCCAATTTTTTTTAGATTTTACAAAACTCTTCAACTTTTATTAAGTATGTCATATGCCTATTTTTAATAGTTTGCGAGTTATTACAATTTTTTCTATTTTGCCAATATTATTAATACAATTTTCAATCAAATTTCTCATGTCAAAAAACTTCCAGACGCCAATTTTCATCCAAATATTGACGTTACTTCAGAAATTATTTCGAAAAAATCGAAAAAAATTAAACTTCTACACCCTGTATCTCCGAAACTAAAGCATTTTAGGAATTACATTTATTCGAACTTTTTTACTTATTTTTATCTGCAGAATATGCTGTCGAAGTTTCCGGAATACAGTTCGGATCACCCTGTATACCTAGTTTCAACTTGATTAAAGATTTTTAGAGTTTTAAATCCAAACTAATGAATTATTTTTTCGTGTTTATTTCTTTATCAAATAGTGGGGTGTCCCAATTTTGCAAAGTTACGACTGTTTTAAAACTTATTACTTATGAAATAAGTTAATAGGTGCTTAAAAACTCAAAGTTAACTTTATCTTTAACAGACTCTATCTTCATGACCTCGATTTCGAACTTCGAACCTTAATATCTCCTAAACTATTAAAGATACCTAGTTGGATCAGTCAATAGAGAATTAAATTCACTACACATTAAATTCTCTACATATGTATTTTTACAAAATTAGAGCCCTATTGGACGGATCAACTTAATAGTTTGGGTGAAAAATTTAGCAAGGCTCATTCTCACTGATAGAGAATCTAATTCTCTATCGAATGGTCAAAAGGGCAGGTCCATTCTTCACTCTCCCTAACCAAACCAAACAAATCTCTTCTAACTCGTTGATTTGTTAATACCAGTTATTAACGCTAGAGTAGCACTTGTTGACAAAAATACCTTCACCATTTTGTCAAGATTTGTTGTAGTATCAAGAGCAGGAATTTACCTCCTGGCTTTTATGTTTTCCTGGTAGAAATGCCCGATAGAATTATCAGAAAACTAGCCCATTTGTCAAAGACATTATTTTGTATCAGACTTTCTTTCTAGATATTATAAATTTGGATTGGAGGATTGCTCTTTCTGTCGTAGTATTTGTGATATAAATGACACGAAAGCCCCCCCATATATCTTTGTCCTCCACTATAAAGGGTATTATTTATCTCTTTTTTACAATATTTGTTTTAATATTCTGAATTTTATGTCCATATTTTTTTTAAATAAAACTCAATTGTAAAATTATAAAACTTTATTAAAATAAAAGTTTAAAAAATCACAAAATAGCGGTTTTGTCTTAATTTAAAAATTTTAATACATTCCTCATAAAACAATTTTGATTGTCGATTTGCATTATCTATAAAACTTTGCTAAAATATATATAAATAAAATCATGAAGCGTCTTAAGCGAAACTTAAATATAATAAAACTATTATCACAATCGATTTTTAAAATATATGCTCCCCCGTGTATACAGGGCTAGTAGGCGTGGTGGATATATTTACAGGGTGTCTTCTCTGCATAAATGTCTTCAGTCTCGAACACGGGATTACTGTAACCAAATGTTCCTGGAAAGAAAGAAAAAAAAATAAAGAAAGAATCAAAAATAATCTACAATAGAGTTGCAATGGTGTTATACAGGGTAGCGCCTCTCATACGTCGCGGAGGCTGCAAGGAGAACGACAGTTTGCATTGAAGTGAAATTTTGTTAGCATATGTAGGTTAATTCAGAGCACTTTTTTAAAAATATAGAGAGTTCTACAGGGTGTCCCCAAAAAAGTTACATAACAAAGTTGTGTTTTTTGTAATGGAACATCCTATATATTAATTGATTTTCGGATTCTGACAGAAAAATAAAGGTGAGTTTTATAAGAGAAGTATATGATTATATTCTAAGGTTTTTGACATATTTAACATTTTCTAGAAATAAAGAACAATTTTTAAATTACAATAAAATCTACCTAAATTGGAATTTACCCGGTATAGCCTAATATGTAGTTAAATTAACTATTGTACTTTAAATCAAATTAAAACTTAATCCAAAAGTTATATAGGGTGAGACAAAATTAATATTGAACATTGGTCACCTTTAACAGCACGTTACTCTTTTATTTTAAATGAAACACCCAGTATATTATTCCGATATTCAATGGAGAATTCATGTCTCTTCAAAATACTATTAAGGTTACCTACCCCTCAAACAAATAATATTTTCCTAGATATCTTCATTTACATGATAATTTGATCCGAATAGATCTTTATTATTAGATAAAATCTAGGTGGCTAGTGATATGTCTGACGTTACTTCGACATAGCTGTCTAATTAGTCCAACTTTAACAACTAGTTATCATTTTGTGTCAGTTAAAACAAAAAAAAAATTCTCAGAAATTTGCCGAAAATGCAATTCCTACTATCCTACATCAGAGAGAATTGGTATAATTCTATTAGTTGGTCAATGCAGTGTGCATTCACCAATTACTTAAATGGTCCTGATTTTATCTAGTCTGTTTTTTTATGGGGATAAGTTAAAAACAGTGTTTACAAAACTCGACCAACTATTGTCGACAACATGAGAGAAATTATTGTAGCTGCTTTTCGAGGTAGAACTCCACATAAACCTTTTAAAATGAAAAGATCCTTTTGAAAAGACAATCATTTTGTGCAGTTAACAGGAAAGGAAGCATTTGATTTCATCTAACTAATTTTTGTCACATAATTATAGGTTTATATCTAGTTTTAATTCTGTACTAATTAAAATATGTTTTAAACGTGTATTTTTTTTATTACCGTTGAGCATTTTACTCTACAATGTTTAATTTTTGCTAAATTAACAAAAGGTATATGACACAGCCATCTAGATTTTTTCAAATAATACAGATCAAAATTAAAATATTTAGGAAAATCTTTGTCTGAGAGGTAGGCAACCTTAATAATATTTTGAAGACATATAAATTCCCCATTGAACGCTGGAAAAATATACTGGATGTTCCATTTATTAAAATAAAGGAGTAACTTGCTTTTAAAAGTGACTAATGTTCCATATTAATTTCGTCTCACCCTGTATAACTTTTCCGATCAAATTTCAATTTGGTTTAACATAGAATGGTTACTGTAATTAAATATGAGGCTATACGATGTCAACTAAAATTTAGGTAGCTGTTATCAAAATTTAAAATCTACCCTTTATTTTCACAAAATGTGAAATATGTCAAAATCCTTAAGCCGGGTCCAGACTATGTAACAAAACATGTTAAATAACAAAGTTTTATAACTTGTTAGAGAAATTCAATTAAAAAAGTTATAAAACACAATGTTATACAACATTTTTCTTGTTATATAGCATATATTATGTTATCCATTAAGGAGGGTCTACATTTAGTAACATGTTATATAACATTGCTATTTAACATGCTACATATCACATGCTAAAAAACCGGGAGCCGTCCACATTATAGTTTACGTAATCATGAATCGTTTTGGCGAGAAAGAGGTTCTGCTAGCAGCAGCGGCGTGCGTAATTATTTTTGAAGAGAAAGAAAGTCGAGAAAAAAAGCGGTTTTGAGTCCGCCTACAAAATAGATCTATATATATATATATATATAGTCGAACTCAATTAGCTTACCTTTTCAATACCTGCCTCGGCTATTTCTCGTGGTGTGTTTCTGTCTTTTAAAAACAATAATAACTTAAAAGCAAACCATTTTGAATTATCCACTTCGTCTAAGCCAGTACCTGATTTGCATTTCTTTTTTTTTCCTCTGAAACTGCCCTATTAGATATCGCATTTTTTTCTCAAATTTTTCTCTTTCCAAATACATACTTTTTGCAATTTTTAACCATGCATCATGTTTCTTTTATATAAAAGATATCACATAACACTGTATGATCTCTATACAACTTAATTAGTTGACAAGTCTGCTCTTGGCTCTACTCCATTAACAATATAAGAACATAGAGAAAGTAATAAAAAGTTTTACTTTACTATAAGTTCAAGTTTTTTATTATATTTCTCTATCTATAAGAACCATACGATCGAAAAAACATGGCGTCAGCGATGGCTATGAATTGAAGATCGCTGTCATTTTATATGAAAAATTATATTGGGAATGTCATCGATCGTCATGTCCAAGCCAACTGGACGGGAGGCCGACTGGTCGCAGGTTTTTTTTTCGATCATACGGTATTATTAACCAGTAAATAAACAAACCCTAAGGTGCCCGGTGGCGTAGAGGTACAGGCTCTCGTCTACCAATCTCAAGGTAGTGGGTTCGATTCCCACACTCGGCATTGCATCAACCGACTATTTTTATTAAAATAAAAATAGTTTGGGTACCTAGGTCGACTCAGCCTTAAATGAGTACTTGGAATTCACAATCCTGAGGTAATAATAGGCGGTTGAAGCGTAGTCCACATTACCTTCCTTGTATACCGAACGGCTCTAGTATGGCAAGCTGTACCTTGCTACTCCCAAGGCGTTAAACGCTATATACGGGAGCTATTATTATTATTATAATAAACAAACCCAATATCAACTCACCATACTAAAATTCTGTCGCGCACGTCCCTGAAAATGTGAGCGGCTAAACTAGAAATTTAGCAAGTCTGGACGCATTGTTTCATGTTAGAATAGCAATGTTGAGCAACATCTTTTGATCTTTACCGACTACAAATGGATAACATCTAACAAGTTATATAGCAGCGAAATTTGCTAAATATGACTAAAAAATAAGTAACATGTTATATAACTTTGCTATATAGCAGTGTTATATAGCAAGTGTGGACCGGCCTTTAGGTGTCGGTAAAGATCAAAGAAAGTTATAAAACTTTGTTTTATAACACGCCGGGACTTGTCCACACTTGTGTTATTAAATATTTACTGCAGGACGAGCGGCGTTTGAATTTAGTATTGCCAGAACTCTCGCGTTGCACACAGTGATTTTTGTTAATTTTTTACGCAATGCAATGGTTGAAAGAACTTATCACTCATTTAATTGAGTTATTTCGTGAGCATCGAGTATTATGGGATCCTACCTTCATAGATTTTAAAAACAGAAATAAAAAACACGACGCATGGACTGAACTAGGTGCAGAATTGAAAACAAATGCAAGTGAAGTTGAAAAACAAATGCGTTTGAGGTCATTTTAAATACTACAGCTGCTACTGCTTCGAGCAATAAAATGTACACTCATTTTGTTTAGTTTAGTTGTGTTACATAGTCTGGATGTCTCTGCTATTTTATAACAAGTTATAAAACAAAGTTGTACAACAAATTTGTTGTATAACTTGATATTTAACATGTTTTGTTACATAGTCTGGACCCGGCTTTAGATTTTAGGTATATGCCTCTTTAATAAAACTCATCTTTATTTTTTTCCTAGAATCCGAAAATCAATTAATATATAGGGTGTTCCATTAGAAAAAACCGGGAAAAAACAACTTTGATGAGTAACTTTTTTTTGGGGACCCCCTGTATAATTCTATATATTTTATAAAATGCTTTCTTTTTTTTCAAAACACAAAAAGTCATTTTTACTCCGAATAGAACATGCTATTTTTTTCAAACGCCACAAATAATTTTTAAACAATTTCAAACGTTCCAAATAATATAAAAATTTTAAAGACATACCATAGATAAATGCAACAGATTGGAAAGCCCGTAAAAATTTTAGGTCGCGAAATTATTTTGGGTCGCGACCGTTATACGCGATCTGGCGCTGCTATAGCGGTCGCTAAGAACAACGGCAAACAAAAACAGAATTAATTTTCTCTTGTCAAAGTCAGAATCTTCAAAAATCATAATAATCTTTCAAAATCTAAACCGCTCTCATTAAAGAAATTCCGAAAAGTGTTTATAGCGTCCATTTTCAAAGTAATTATTGCTATCTTTTGAGTTCAATTCAAGTTTTATTTACTCTAACCGGCGATAATTGTGAAAAAGTGGCATTAAAAACTTAAAAAGCTGTGCTGTGAACTGTGAACTGCAAAAACCATCGTGGATCGTGGCATAACGTCGCGTCGGTTTCCAATGTTTCATAGGTATTTCATACATGCGTCCTTATATAAAATAAAGTTTCATGTATGCAACACACTGTCTTTTATTTATAAAATTAAACGAAAATAATAATAAATTTGAATAAACAATATTTGGCAATATAATTCCGAAAAAAGCCGAACCGCTCCGAAATTTTCAAAAGTTTTGGGTCGCGACCGTTGCAAGAATAGCGCCAAATAGTGTTTACATTGTCCTTATGGGCACTTTCCAATCTAAACTTGTTTCATTTATCTATGAGACATACCTTGTATGTAATTATATATCGAGAAACTATGGTTACGCTCGCTGAATTTGACACTTTGTCAGTTTAATAATATATTTTCGTACTTTTATGCTTACGCGTAAAAGTACGAAAGTAAAAGTGGTTTACTTTTATACCTATTCGTTAAAATGACTTTTTTATATTGTCAATCGCATCGCAAAAATTAATACTTTTGTGACGTTTGAAAAAAAAAATATTTATGCATATGAACACGAAAAATAATAAAATAAATAATACTCACATCTCTAATCCAAGAGCATGTCAACGCGGTGTCCATGTCCATTCTTTGCGCAGGCGCAAGTACTAGTAAACTTTTAATTAGGTCCTTTGCTGGTTCCGTGATCTGTGCAAAATACTCGTCAGGAAAACAGTAGTCGCATTTGAGAATGTTGGCTGTCGTTTCTTCCATGGAGTCATCCAGGAATGGAGATACACCACTCAACAAAACATACAAAAATACTCCTGTAAAGAAGACATAACTAACATTAGAATATAAATACCAATATGGAGGAAATTGTTGGTTTACAAAAAACCATTAGGTTATTTTTTTTATGCTCATAGTTGTGCTCATAGTTATCAAAATCTGTGTGCAGATGCAGAGGTTTTAGGATAGTCAACCCTTTATGTCTTAAATATAAAGAAAATAAGTTGTACCTGCTGCCCAGCAATCAGTGTGCTTTCCTACAGGCTGGCCTAAAACAAGTTCTGGAGAGGCGAACTCCAAACAAGCAGGTGGAAGGATCACATTTTTAGTGGTATTGACTGAATCTCCAAAGTCGACTAGCTTCAACAGAGGCGGACTGAAAGTAATGTCAACCATGACATTCTCTGGCTAAAAAAAGAAATAGAACCTGTATATAAATAATCTTTAAGTTCGTTTTGTAATAAACTAATTTTATAAATTATAAAAATATAGGGGAACCGTTGAACATAAATAATAATAAAAATGCTTAACTATATTTATTTAATTATGGTACATTAACAATACCTTAACATCCAAATGTGAGACATTTTTTCTATGCAACCAAGCCAAAGCTGACATTAGTTGCCGAGTATACAATCTGACATCTCCCTCCAAATAGTCTCCCCGTTCACTTAATGATGCAAATAAAAGTGGCCCTCTCACACTAGAACAAAGAAAGGAACAAATAAAATAAGGATGGCATTAACTAATTAAATATATAAATTAATGAAAATATTTTTTTCGAGGGTAAAAAAATCTTAAACAAAAATCAAACTTACAGTTCCAAAACTATAGTGTCTATTCCTGGTACAGGAGCGTTGTCAAATAATGCGAGAGATCGGATGATATTCGGATGTTCCATACCCGCTAGTAAAGCATACTCTGCCTGCGTGACTTGGTGAGCCTGCTTCCTTCTAGTAATTTGCTTCAAAGCAACTTCGACGTTTGTACCTGAAAATACCATATTAACATTAAAATTGCTTCTTTTACATATGAAGGGTCCAGAGGGAAAACATGACAAGCACCATTTTACTAATTTTACAGGAGAGCACTGGACTGCTGGTGGTTATCATGTTTTTTTCGTGTATTCTATATTTCTTATTTTTTATTAGGCATATATCATAGGATTTACAACTTATTGCCCTGCAGAGTTTATAGATTTTGTAGGGACCAATTAGACCTACTATAGTATTGTAAAATTCTAAAATTAAGAAATTGGCGCTTATGAAATTTTTCCCCTGGACCCTTCAAATGGAAAACAGCTGTCAGTGGATTTTTTACTCATTCAATGCAGTGGTATTTTTCAAAGGCCACAAAAGTATTAATTTTTGCGGCGTGATTAACAAAAGTCATTTTAACGCCTAGCTTACGCCTAGGCATAAAAGTAAAGCACTTTTACGCCTAAGCACAAAAGTACGAAAATATATTATTAAACTGACATAAAATGTCAAATTCAATGAGCGTAACCATAGTTTCTCTATATACAGTATGTCCCCGGATTGTCTTTACAAGAGGAAATACTTTTTTATTATTGATATTTTGAGACATATGTATTCTTCATAAAAAATTTCCTTGTTCTAAAATGGTTTAATCGCGTTTATACTTTTCCAAATTTCCACATCGTTTTAGAGAAAATTAAGAAAAACATGAAAATATGGTTGAATTTTCTAAAAATCAAAACGCGTTTCTATGATTATATCATTTCGATTTCATCACTTTGATAGATGGTTATTATTAAATTTGATTAACGTCATATTCTTTGTTGTAGTTAAAGTATCATATTTTCCGATAATTATCATTACCTAAGGATGATGATAATTCAATTTACACACACACATTTCTTTCACATTTTCAATGCTACAGTAAGCCGTAGCATTGAACTAAATAAATTTTGTACTTCTTTAACATTTTAAAACAGCAAAAAATATTACGTTAATTAAAATTATATGAATAAGAATCTATCAAAGAATGAAAGCGAATTGGTAGAAACGCCTTTTGATTTTTAAGACTTTAAAAATTTAACCATATTTTCATGTGTTTCTTAATTTTATCTAAAACGGTATGGAAATTTGGAAAAGCATAAACAAGATTAACCATTTTAGAAGAAGTAGAAATTTTTAAGAAGAATGCATTTTTCTCAAAATGTCAACTATTTAAAACACAATTAAATCCTCAATTTATTTTCTAACTTTTACAATTATAATTCAAATAAAACCATTAAATCTCACCTCTGTCTTTTGCAAGCCGTACTATAGAAAATCTCCCCCTGCTAATCTCTTCCAATTCCATATACCTCCTTCTAAATTGCTCCTGCTGCCACAGTAAGTTATCACCGATAGGCAACGTCACAGCAACGCTAGGCAGACTCACTGCTTTCGTCTGACTGGATACCAATCGAAAACTGTAAGTCTCCCCCGGCACCAAGTCATCAACAACGTAAGTACTTTCAGTAATGACACTTTTTGACGGCGAAGTCCATTCTCCGGACCCCAATTTACAATGTTCCACGTAATAAGGCGTTTTCTGAGGGTTGTCCCAGTCCAGTTGAACACTGGTCGATGATAGAACTTGAATTGTCGGTTCGACCAAGACCCCGGGACCGCCTGTTACAGACACCACGCAAGAACAGCTCGCAGAACCATATTCGTTGGCAATAGTGAACGAGTAAGTACCGGAATCAGACGGTTTGGCGTTGTCCAGGGTTAAAAGAGCCACGCCTTCTCCGTTGGGCTCCATCATAAATCGACCGTTTCGAAGGATGCAGAGGTTAGGTTCAAGTTTTTTCCAGCTTTGTCTGCAGTGAGGGGTGTGACCTCGAATTCGACAACAAAGGACGATTTTTGAGCCGGCTTGTACCACTAGATCTTGAAGGCGATCGGTTATATCTGGAACGGGACCTTCTTGAGGGCTCTCTGGTATATTTCCGTTGGTGGGCAAGGTTCTTGGTGGTTTCTTAAATCTGAAATATTGTAGGTTGATTATATTAATGCAGAATTTTTTTCCAAAAAACTGATGTTTTTATATACAGGGTGGTCCGAATTGTATTCCGGAAACTTCGGCAGCATATTCTTCAGATAAAAATAAGTAAAAAAGTTAGTATAAATAAACGTATGTCTTAAAATGCTTAGTTTCGGAGATACAGGGTGTAGAAGTTTCATTTTTATTTCGATTTTTTTCAAATAATTTCTGAAGTAACGTCAGATTTTAGATGAAAATCGGTGTCAAAAATTTTTTTGATCTAAGAAATTTGATTATGATGTCAATATGACTCCTACTTTTAGGGGGCGCCACCTACATATTTTTTAACTGGTTTGAAGTGTAATAACTTTTCGTCCGTACCTGTATAAAACTACTAAGTAAAAAAATATACATTTACGACGTTTTTTTAAATCTAACTTATGTATACCAGTCATCATTAACATAAATTAAACATGTTGACTAAACAGTTATTAGGCTGAAATAATAAATTTGAAATGTTTTTGTGCCAAAAGTTTAACAGTTTAACAGTTTTTTATCATCAATTCTTCAAAGAAAACTAATAACTATCTACTCAACATGTTTATTTTTTGTAAATAATTGCACTGACTATTTCAATTCTCAATATCTTCGGTTGCTCGTAGCTATTTTTACCAAGAGACATTTTTTACGTAAAAAATCACAGAAATATATTTTTTTTCACTCCATAGTTTTATACAGGTACGGACGAAAAGTTATTACTCTTCAAAACAGTTAAATACATGTAGGTGGCGCCCCCTTACAAATAGGAGTCATATTGACATCAAAATCAAATTTTTAATGTCAATATACTTCCAGACACCAATTTTCATCCAAATATTGACGTTACTTGAGTAATTATTTGGAAAAAATCGAAATAAAAATGAAACTTCTACACCCTGTATCCTGTATCTCAGAAAATAAGCATTTTAGGACATACATTTATACGAACTTTTTTATTTACTACAGAATATGCTGCCGAAGTTTCCGGAACATAGTTCGGACCACTCTGTACATTCCATTGTCTTTTGTATTAGCTTCCATTTAAATAAAAAACTTATTTTTTTCTGCGCAGTGAATATTTAAAAGATATTAAGTGTGAAAATATAATCTTAAATACATATTAGAAGTAAAATAATATCTTCTAATGTTTTTTACCTGAAATTCCATGGCTTCTGAGAAGGATTGGATATTACATAGGCAGGCAGCCATACTTTTTCTCGTACAACATTTACGCATACTAGATATCCCTTGTTGGCGTCGTATTTGATTATAGTGACAACTTCGCCTAAATTCACCTTTGGGTACTCACGAATTATCCTAGCTTGTGTTCCGGGCGCCAAAATGTGGTTTTCATACTGTAAATTTATTAAAATATATTTAATCCATCGAATATAGACAGACACTTATAAATTTCTAAAGCTGCATTGAATAATAACAGGAAGCTTTAAAAACATTAATTCAGAATTTTAGCACAGTGCTATAAAATAAATTTAGTTTTTCAATAAATATAGATATAATTTAGTTGTTTGATATATGGTTACTATTATTTATTTTTTTTATTAACGTCATATTTTTTGCTGTTGTTAAAGTATCACATTTTCCGGTAACTGTTTTCTCCCATTCTGTAGCATTGAACTAAATAATGTTTGTGCTTCCTTAGCATTTTAGAACAGCAAAAAATTAATGTTAATTAAAATTCTATCAATAACAATCTATCAAAGAATGAAAAGAAAATTATATTACCAGAAAGAAAGGCGTTTCGATTTTTAGAGAAAAATTCAACCATATTTTCATGCAAACATTGTTCCATATAAGCTCTATCAAGGTTTTGAAGACTTCTAAACACTGTGCTTTGAATCAGCTCTGAATTACATTAATGTTATTATTAATTCATTTTGGACGACACTGGATTAGTATAAAACAGCAAAAACAAGACGTGGGTTATCAAAAATATCGTCCTATTGCTGCCAAAAGTCACTAACTAACATTTTTCCGAACAACCAAATTCAATCACTATGTTTTGAATCGGAGAATCGATTGCAAAAGTCATTAACTACGATTTCTGGCTATTTATGTTTTATTTTAATACCGAATAGTTACTAACTATAACATCTTTATGCAATGCAATTCATTTTTAGACGCATTTTTCTCGGAAGTAATAAAAAGTAAGTTAGTGACTTTTGGCAGCAATGGGACGATATGTACTTATATTTCCAATACACTTAAACAAAAAAAAATACATGCACTGTGACACACAAAAAGCATAATAGTAAAGGAGCACCCGTTAGAAAGAATCCAAAAAAGTAAAGAGTTAAAATTAAAAAACATGCTCACCATAATTTAGAAAAAAAACACTTCTGCATAATGCTCCATAGTATCTCCATTAAATTTGTTATAGTCAAAAACACCCAAATTTATTAAGCCACTGTTTACTTTATTCTCTACGTCATTTACATACATTTTTTACTGATTACATATCAAAATAAAACCGTATTACTATCTACACTCTTATTTACACTTAAGATTCTAATTAATGTTTGTTTCTTAAACACTATACATATCACAGCCTCAAAGGGTTAGTTTTAAACGTATTTCTAGATTTAATTTGTGATACAATCAGGTGATTACTGTTTTTGAAGCGAGCTCTAAGGTACCTGGAGAAAGAAAAAAATTTGTTGGTTAAATAATGCATGCGTTAATAACTACGAGTAGTGCATGGCTATTCTATTATCCAGTAAGCACACAACATAATTTTGGAGATTTTCAAGGTAGTTTTAATATAATAATTTCATTGCAATAATATTGACATAAAACTTGTTTATCCTAAATCCGAAGTCTGGATTCTAACTGTTAAATAATAACGAAGTTATGCTTCTTTCAACAATGCCAAAAAGAAATAGAAAAAGGGCTGATATACACTCACCAGCACAAAAAACATTTTGATGTATTTTAAAATGTTATATATTGTATTCTAGTGGACTGATTTTGATGATATTTTAAGCAATTTGTAGCTAAGTTACTTGTCTTTTTAGAACCTCTTTCTAAATTAAAAATGAAAGTTCTCATCTGTAAATTATACGAGAGAATCTAAAATGTTGTTATTTTGGTCAAAGTTTGGAACACTCTGTGGAATATGTTAAAAAAGCAAGGAACTTAAAAATCATTTTATCATCTAGGTGCATCTTTTTACAATAGTTTATTTTTAGGTTCATCTCAATAACTTAATTTTTTTGGAGATATTCACTTTTGAAGAAGACACTACGTAATTTTTTGTAATTTTTACATTTAAACCATGTCTTTACTTGGTTCCAATCAACAGACTTATGAAATAGTGTTTATGATTTATGTAATGTCACTTTTATTGAAAAATCATATTATTATTAATTATTATCTGTTGGCTGTTAGGCAGTTAGTCTTGCAGAGATGGTTTTAAGTCCAGAAGGTGTATCCGCTATAACTGCATCAATTGAAGATGATAGAGATCAAAATTATGCCGCTAACAGTTTTAGGTGTGCACGAAGTGCAGTGTAGTCGCTCCTTCGAGACAATTTCATACGCTAGACGTCCAGAAACCTTCGTATGAGAACTTCGAATCGAGACGATCGACTTTAAGCAAATCTTATGTCAAGAAGGCCTGCTTCGGAACCACAAATTACTAGTTCTGTTAACTAGGACCAAAAGCAATGGCATGGTTTTAATGTAAAAATTACGAAAAAATGTTGTTATTAACATTTTTTCGTAATTCAACAGCTTACTCAAAAGCGAGACACTACGTAATTTTTTGTAATTTTTACATTTAAACCATGTCTTTACTTGGTTCCAATCAACAGACTTATGAAATAGTGTTTATGATTTATGTAATGTCACTTTTATTGAAAAATCATATTATTATTATCTGTTGGCTGTTAGGCAGTTAGTCTTGCAGAGATGGTTTTAAGTCCAGGAGGTGTATCCGCTATAACTGCATCAATTGAAGATGATAGAGATCAAAATTATGCCGCTAACAGTTTTAGGTGTGCACGAAGTGCAGTGTAGTCGCTTCTTCGAGACAATTTCATACGCTAGACGTCCAGAAACCTTCGTATGAGAACTTCGAATCGAGACGATCGACTTTATGCAAATCTTATGTCAAGAAGGCCTGCTTCGGAACCACAAATTACTAGTTCTGTTAACTAGGACTAAAAGCAATGGCATGGTTTTAATATAAAAATTACGAAAAAATGTTGTTATTAACATTTTTTCGTAATTCAACAGCTTACTCAAAAGCGAGACACTACGTAATTTTTTGTAATTTTTACATTTAAACCATGTCTTTACTTGGTCCCAATCAACAGACATATGAAATAGTGTTTATGATTTATGTAATGTCACTTTTATTGAAAAATCATATTATTATTATCTGTTGGCTGTTAGGCAGTTAGTCTTGCAGAGATGGTTTTAAGTCCAGGAGGTGTATCCGCTATAACTGCATCAATTGAAGATGATAGAGATCAAAATTATGCCGCTAACAGTTTTAGGTGTGCACGAAGTGCAGTGTAGTCGCTTCTTCGAGACAATTTCATACGCTAGACGTCCAGAAACCTTCGTATGAGAACTTCGAATCGAGACGATCGACTTTAAGCAAATCCTATGTCAAGAAGGCCTGCTTCGGAACCACAAATTACTAGTTCTGTTAACTAGGACCAAAAGCAATGGCATGGTTTTAATGTAAAAATTACGAAAAAATGTTGTTATTAACATTTTTTCGTAATTCAACAGCTTACTCAAGAGCGAGACACTACGTAATTTTTTGTAATTTTTACATTTAAACCATGTCTTTACTTGGTCCCAATCGACAGACATATGAAATAGTGTTTATGATTTATTTAATGTCACTTTCATTGAAAAATCATATTATTATTATCTGTTGGCTGTTAGGCAGTTAGTCTTGCAGAGATGGTTTTAAGTCCAGGAGGTGTATCCGCTATAACTGCATCATTGAAGATGATAGAGATCAAAATTATGCCGCTAACAGTTTTAGGTGTGCACGAAGTGCAGTGCAGTAGCTTCTTCGAGACAATTTCATACGCTAGACGTCCAGAAACCTTCGTATGAGAACTTCGAATCGAGACGATCGACTTCGATTACGAAAAAATGTTGTTATTAACATTTTTTCGTAATTCAACAGCTTACTCAAAAGCGAGCCTCTCCAGCAGAATACAAGCTATTGAGATGATCCAAAAAACAAACTATAGAGAAAGGATGTATCTAGATGATAAAATTATTTTTAACTGCCTTGCTGTCTTAACATATTTTGCAGGGTGTTTCAAACTTTCACCAAAATATCAACATTTTCTTTTCCTCCTATAATTGACAGAGGAAAACTTTCATTTTTAATTTAGTCAAAACGTCAAATAATTTAGCTACAAATTGCTTAAATAATCATCAAAATCGGCCCACTAGAACAAAATATATTAAACTTTACATTTACATATTAAATACATCAAAATTTTAAGGTAATAGATTATATTATTTAATATCAAAGAGATATGTATAACAGTCTATGTCTTATCTGGATAGCTTTATTAGCGGTTGTGAACGAATAATTGCAGTTTCATAAACTAAGCGAATAAAAAAAATTGAAAGTTTTAGTAATAGATCAATTGGATCAATATGGTAACACTATCGTTAATTAAAATAAAAATATTTTAGTAATTGTATTGTTGTGTAATCGTAATTATAAATTGATTTTAACGAAAGTAATTATACTTCTTATAGACCAAATTTACATGTTTTATACTGCAATAGTAGTACCATAGTATAAAGAAACTAGTAGATTTACTCCTTGTCAAATCCTTTGTTCTTTTTCTGCCAATTTATATGACTTTGTTCTCGCCTCCCGTGACCACTGACGTAGCTGTATAGTCGTGGTCTATTAATTAGGAAAAGTATAGTCGTGGCACTCGCCATAGTTTCATATGTATTTAGTAAGATATGTATCGAGTAAAAACTTGCTTGAAAACAGAATATTTTCACATTTCGTGTAGGTAACAATTTTTCTGTATCTGAAAATCTTCTGATGGGAAGAAATGCGGAAAAAATATATAATGACATATCTTTATATTATTATCTATTTCAGAGATTTTCTACAATTTTTTTTATTTAAAACAAGTTTAATTTTCTGTAGATACTGGATTCGGCATAAAATTCTGCATATAGTACACTGTCTTTACTTAAAGCACACTGCGGTGTTGCCATTCTATTTCTTATTTACTAAAACTTTGGTTAAAAACATTATATACGAAAAGTGGTAAAAAAGTAGAATGAATATAATAATAATAATAATAGCCCCCGTATATAGCGTTTAACGCCTTGGGAGTAGCAAGGTACAGCTTGCCATACTAGAGCCGTTCGGTATACAAGGAAGGTAATGTGGCTAGCACTACGCTTCAACCGCCTATTATTACCTCAGGATTGTGAATCCCAAGTACTCATTTAAGGCTGAGTCGACCTAGGTACCCAAACTATTTTTATTTTAATAAAAATAGTCTGCTGATGAAATGCCGGGTGTGGGATTCGAACCCACTACCTTGAGATTGGTAGACGAGAGCCTGTACCTCTACGCCACCGGGCACCTTAGAGTGAATATAACTTTATTAATACTTAGCTATGTTTTCTTCAAAAAAATAATGATATTTAATTAATTACATAATATCTCAGCTTCTAAAACAAACAAATATAATTAAATGTTTATTGAAAACAATTTTTTGAATTATTACTACAATTAATTAATAGCAGCACACAGGCACTCATTTTTTGTCAATCTGTCTCTGTGCTGGGACGCAACGCGCGAACCTCCCAGCTCGACGGACGGAATTCAACTGAAACGCTTTTCAATCTGCCGATATTCGACAGATTGCAAAAACTGGCAGAAAATATTTGCGAGAGTGCAACTACTCTTTTCCTTAAACTATGGTAGTACCGTATGATCGAAAAAACGGCATCCAGTTGGCTTTGAAATGACGATTGATTACATTCCCCGTATAATTTTAGAAATAAAATGACAACGAGCTTCATTTCATAGTCATCGCTCACGCCGTTTTTTTTTCTCGATCATATTGTATAATAAAATTTTATTATACTAGTAGTGGCAGTTTTTGACTTAAGTGTGAGTGTGTTTTTAGCCAGACTACATCCACATAAGATCATCCCCAAATAAAGCTATTATATTTTTTTATTTCATTATTATAATTTTTTTAGTTTTTAATATTAAAATCATACTGACGATCAAGATTTAAGTGTATAATTGAGTATTAAAAAGTAACTTAAAAATTCGATATAACATATCCATAGGTATCCATAAAAAGCTTGAAATTAGTGCTATTTATTTTATACCCTACTGTACATCTAAGTATTTAAAATAAGCGACTCTATAGAACTCTGTTATATTTGACTTACCGGTGGTTGCGCTTCGCTCCATCTTCTGTGAATGTCTTCTTTATCTTGACTCATTACCATAGTGTCACTTTTGTGCCTATTCTTCAACGTACTTCTAAATCCGTCGAAAAAATGTCTTCTGGGTGTTTTGTTGTTGTTCTTGCTATCAGAGTTCTCGCTATAAATACAATATTAATGTATAATATTGAATAATAAGCTACAGACGAAGTCTAATACCTATTATATATAAAAGTTGGAAAGTCCATGAAAATACAGTGAAAACAAAATTCCATAACGATTTCGCTGTTTTATTTATAGTCGAGGTAGCAACGTTTTTGAGAGAGAATTTTAAGAAAGCTGGTTCTTTCAACTATTTTTTGTTATGCTCTCCTGAACAGGGTGCGGACCGTCTGGTTGCAGGTAGACGTTGCGTTCACTACTGCGCATCCCCATATCTGTATTCAACATCTGTTCACTACTGCGCATCACAAATTCGGCCTGTATTTCAGGAACTAAGGAGACTAGGACAAACATATGTATAGCATATTTAGTTTCATAGAAAAGTAGGAACGTAATGTGAAAATCGATACCCTGTACAGATGTGATGCGCAGTAGTGAACCGTAGTAGTCTACCGGCAACCAGATTTCCCGTGCTTTGGTCAGGAGAGCACAGGAGACCATATCAAAAGATAGAAAAGAACCAGCTTTCATAAAATTCTTGATTTCCCGACGCTGTTAGCTCTTGTACTATGTATGTATATTTTTATTAAGATTAGATGAAATTTGTCAAAAAAGTGTCAAAACGTCCGTTATCGTACGATCTTTCTCCGTTGACAGGCTGGAGTAAAAAATTTACGGATAACGGACGCATGAAAATCAAGCTTTACTCACCTGGAGGTAATATCATTTTCTGACGGTATCCCAATAGTATTAGCCTTGTGAATATACTGAGGCGGTTTCCTAGGCGTTTTGACTGGAGAATTTTCCTGACTGTGATCCACAGACTTGCTAGAGAACTCCCATGGAAATAATGATCTAAAGAGAACAAAAACAATTTTTTACAAGGAGGTTATACACCAATAACTGACGTAGAACATGTTACACATAATAAGTTAAGATTTAGCAACCTCAATAAATTAAATTTTAAATTTCATAAAAAATCTTGAGTGTAACACACTCCGTTTATTTATAATACAAGCAAAAGCTTAACACTTAGTACAAATACATCTTTAAATCTTACCTTGCAATTATAGTGGATCAATGCTGCTTTTATTTAAGGTAATGATAAATAAAATAAAAATAAAATGTAAAATAAAAATGAACAATAACAATGATAAACAAAAAATGAGAATGAAAAAATTAACATAACAAATAATAATTAATAAAAATGTATATAAAGGGCAGGAAATATAATTTTTTCTAGAATAAAACCACAGCTGTATAATTTTTGTTTTATTGTTTTTTATTCTATTGAAAATGTTCGGATCACTGCATTGCAATGAAAAATGATACTTATATACAAACATACATACTTTTTTTAATTATGTACAATGGAAAAGACATCTAAATAGATACATATACATTGATAATTTGTGTTTCTTTTTGTCACTTTGATTACCACAAGTTATAATAATAATAATAACAATTTAACAAATAAAAACCTTACTGAAGACAAACATCATATGAACTGAAACACTGAAACATATATAAATATCGACAGCTTAACAATTTTTATGTGTAATTATACATTAAAATCTGCTTAACTGTCGACAATATTCAATTATAAAACTTTTTAATCATAGATATGTCCAAAATTAAAGTACTTTATTGTAAAAATAATGCTGTAGTTGTACATCTTTGTAAGTGTTAAATATTTATTAAAAAGAAATTTTTATTATTGAATCAAGTTATTAAAGACAATTGCTTCATTATATTTAATAAATTCTTAGAAATTTTAAAACTCTAACAGCATTATTTAAACAATTTATAAGTACCGTATGATCGAAAAAAACGGCGTCAAAAACTACTGGAGAATGACAATCGATGATAATTTTGGCGAGGTCAATCTCTAGAGGTTATTTACTAAAAATGGACATAAAAATGGACAAAAATTATAACACTAATTATAGAAAGATTAAAAAAGGATAGAACGAATTTTAAACTACACCATTTAAAAATCATTTTTATTTAATATAAAAATAAATTACAACCTTCTTAAGACCAACTGACAGCAGTTAAAAACTAAAGAAAAGTACAGGCCAAGTAAATGCATGACGTCTAGAGCTTGACCTCGCCAAAATTATCGTCAATTGTCATTCCCCAGCCGTCTTTGACGCCGTTTTTTTTTTCGATCACGTGGTATAATACGAAAATAATGTTTGTGATTAATAGCAATTTTTTCTGCCACTATGAGTATTATTACAAATATTAAGCTCCCCTTTAAAGTGAATGGTGTATTTCTAATTTTGGCGCCAAAATCTATATTGAGCAATGGGTTAAAAAACACAGGGCATCACTGGCCCAGCTGGAATGTTATTCTATTCTGCTATTCGCAAAATTCCTTACAATTTTAAACAAACTCAAATCGTATACTAGCAAAATCTATATATTTTTTGGTTATAATTATTATCCAACGTAAATTCACAAAGAGGAGCTGGTTATATTATATATCAGTTTATTTTGTAAAAATATACTAGCGTAGTGTAATTATTATGTGTGTGTTTATGTGCCCTATTACTTACTCAATATTTTTGAAGGCAAGATACAGAAATAGATGTTTGGCAACAATGTTCATTCTGTTAAATAGGTACCTACATGCTTTTTGATGTTTTAATATTCGGTATTCAAAATATAAACTAAAACTATACCTTACTTTAATGGCGCGTTATCACGACTCGTATACTTGGCAAGTATTTTTTATTGGTTTAAAGGGTCTGGCGGGAGTGCTGCGTAGTTCCTATAATAAATAACTTCTAAGAAATTCTGTATAGTTATACCCGACGCACCGTGTATACCCTGTATACCAATTACAAATGTTGGTCAAGTAAACGAGTCGTGAGAATGCGCCTTAATATAAATATAACTTCTTTACTACCTCACATTTCTTTTGAATTTTAAAGCTAGATAAGATATTTTCCAATTTTATGAGTTAGCTATACAGGATTATTCACCTTATTCGCTACGGAGTATTGTAGCCAAACAATTATATTTTTACAAAATCTAAGTTTTGGGTTCGTTGCGGGACTATTAGAGCTACAATTTAAAATTATTTTCAAAAGGTACAGAGTGTCCCAAATAAATAAAAATATCAAAGTTGTATTTTTAAAATGGAACATCCTGTATATTATTACATTTTTAGTTTCTACGATTAAAATAAAGGTAAATTTGATTAAGGTTTACCGGTCTTTAATCTTACCGTTTTTGAAATATTTACGGTTTTGTGGAAATGCAGTAAAAATGTTAACGCTTTATTTCTCTAGGCGCATTTAAGTTTTTAAAACCAAATATTTCACTGAAGTTTTTCTATTTTCTAAATTTTGTGTTGCAATACTAAAAATAATACTTATAAATCTTATACAGAGTGTCTAAAAATTGATTTTAAATAATTACTAGCTTGTAAACAGCAACAACTTCTTTAATTTAAATGGAACACCTTGTATATTTTATGTGAATCAGATGCATTATTTAATTGTCTATCAAATTGTATTACAACATTTTTTACCTATCTCTTCGAGTTTTCGTAGAAAATGCATTTTCTTATAATTAGACCTCATTTATCATTATACCCATGAAACATTGACATTTTATATCATAAAGATGTAACAAATTTTCAAAGAGTACAGATACTAATATTGTTGATATAGTTCGCTTATTTCTTTAAAAAATGAAAAGTATTTAAATATTTGTAAAACAGGATCAATTAATATGATCCCAGAAAAAAACCTTAATCATAAAAAAACATTGTTGCCAATTCATCCGCTCCTAAATAGCACGGAATCACTTACTCTGGTTTAATACACATATTTCTTTATTAGAAAAACATCAAATTTAAAGAAAATAACGTTTTTTATACATACCCGTCCAATGGACAGGTGCCATATTCTTCTTATACCTATATATTAAGTGTTAGTGTAGTATTCCTAAAGTTCCATTTTGATTGAAAAATGGCGGTCCTGTTAACCACGTACGGCGGCGTACCAAAAAAAAAAACTAATATACATACATAAATAATGATTTAAAGCTAAAAAACGCCCTGACTTTTTTTTCTGGTACACCCCGTATATCCAAATATTTTCGAATATATATTTATATTTTATGTTTATCACAATATAATGTTTGTTTTCATCTTTTTTATGTTCACTTTTATTTTACATTCAACGTGATCCTTCTTTATTATTTGGGACATGTTTATATTTTTTAAAAAATTAAATATCACAGAATAAAAGTTCATTCTAAAGTAAATTCAAGTTAATAAAAATATTCTTTTTGAGTAAAAACTGTCCCGAATACAAACTATGTATAGTCTACGCAGAAATAAGGTTATACAAGCGACAAGTACATTGCAATGTTGTCAAGTTTATTGCAGTGTGCTTCGCGTTGTTGTCGTTAAGGTTCGGGATTAGTTCAAAAGTTGTTCAATACAAAGTTTATAGCTATAACCCAGTCTTATAATCTCAGCCAAATTCTTATATATTTTTTAAATATTTCTTACAATACGTTCTGTCGTAGTTATAATTTAAAAGTGTTGTTTACATACCCAAAAGAAAATGTAATGAATTTTTTGAACAAAATAATATAGTCCTAATGAATATTTTTCCATTGTAGAGCAACTTGAATTAGTTAATACTAAATGAAACATTTTTCTGACAATTTTTATGTTTTATGTGCTGTTAAAACGTATTTATTAAGACATATAGGTAAAGTCTAAAATTCTTGGTGTAATGAATTTCTATGTATACAGGGTGTCCCAGGCTGAGCGCGTATTAGAAGTTTCTAGAGAACCACAATATCTAGATCGGAGATTTTTTTTTCACATCATTGTTGCACAACGAGATCGATCCATTAAAACTATTTTCAATATGACGACACTTCCGGAAATACCGGAAGTTGACTTAAAAATCATTACATACTTATATCTCTATAATATCTAACATTAACCGTTTTTGAGAAAAAAAAATATTTAAAATTTTTGGACGAAAAAAAATACCTGTCAAAAAAATTTGTATAGCCTAAACGTCAAATTTGGCAGCTATCCATTTCAAAGATTAAATTGTTCAAATGACATATGATAATGGCGGTAGCTGTCATGGAATTGAGCGATTAAAAAGTTATCATATATCTTTTTTTTTAAATGGAAACCCACTTTTTTTACTTCACTAGTGAAAATGTTTTTCAATTTGTTACTTTTTAACTATACATGTTCCTATACCAAAAATAAATGGATTTTAAATTTAAGATTTAGTTTGAAAACGTATATTTTTCTTGATTTTATCTAGCTTCCTTTGACATTAAGTGTCAAACAGTCAGACAATTTATTTCCATCTGTCAGGAAATGAATTCTTATATTGTAAATACTGCTACTTATTAAAAGTTTAAAAATTGTATTTATAAAAATATACCTCGTATTTTCGCTCTTTAGTGATATCTAATGGTTGATATTTTTAATTATTAATAATATACCGTATCAACCCTGAAAAAACACAAACAGCGCCAAGTTGGATTGGAAAAGATGATCGATAACATACTGCTTTTTGAACAAAGTGTCACAATATGACATGGCCAGATCTATTGTTTTATATGACTTGACGTTTAAAGTCATAGGCTACTGGTTAAAATCAATAAAAATATACGCTTTAAAACTAAATCTTAAATAACATAAAAACGATTTATTTTAGGTATAGGAACATGTATAATCAAAAAGTAACGAATTGAAAAGCCTTTTCACCAGTGAAATAAAAAAACTGGGTTTCCATTTGAAAAAAAATGATTATGATAATTTTTTAATCGCTCAATTCCATAACAGCTGCAGCCATTATTATATGACATTCAAACAATTTAATTGTTGAAATAGATAGCCACATGTCTTCTCTTTATGGCACAGGGGTTGTGGTAATCACTAAATTTGACGTTTAGACTATACACATATTTTTGACAGGCAGTTTTTTTCGTCCAAAAATTTTAAATATGTTTTTCTCAAAAACGGTTAATGTTAGGTTAGTGTGGTAATAAAAGATGGGGGCGCCCATGTAAAATAAGAAAGTTGCTGTCAACTTCCGATATTTCCGGAAGTGACGCCATATTAAAAATATTTTTAATCACTAGATCTCGTTGTGAAACAATGATGTGAAAAAAATCTCCGATCTAGATATTGTAGTTCTCTAGAAACTTTTAATGCACGCTCAGCCTGGGACACCCTGTATACTTTCTGTTTAAAAAAAATTAATTCTTCAGACTAACCAATACATATTAACAAAAGGATTCAAAATTTCCTTAAATTCCTAAAGAAAATAGTTATTGCTAGCTTTAATTATTATTGCAAGAAAACGTTAACTATTTCTCTATCAATAACTTAAGACACACCGTATCTTGAACTAATCCCTATTCCCCACAAAACCAATAATTAGAAAACCAAATCCAAAATCCTCACACCAAACCTCGAAATAAAAAAGGAAAGTTTTTATCAGCCGCCTAAATCCAAGTAGGCGAGCTTTCTTGATACTCACGATTCCTTAGTCAGTTCCTTCTGGTACGCGATAGGGCTCTGGATGGCCTTGAGAAAGTCTTTCTGAGTCTGTAGGATGTCCTTGATGGTTTTCAACCACTGGCTTCGCAGTTCGTCGCTGCTGGCAAGGCATACGAATCCGATGGATGGCGCGTTGTATACGTCGGTGGAGTTCTTTCCGTCAGATCTAACGACGAAGCTGCCCTCGTCCTTGACGTCTTTGAGGTTAGGATACTCGTCCAATGTCATTTTATTCACCTGTAAATAACATCAATTGATTTAAACTTCGAATGAAGAAAATAGGTCAAATCAGTTAGCCACAAATACTTTTAATGTGCTTTAAGACAGATTCATACCGTGCTGGCAACTCTTATTTTTAGGTCGGTATTTACATGTGTGGAAGTAAATCGCATAGGGATCTTATTAAGTCGGAGTGAGAGAAATGCGACGGTGTGCTGTTGCGGCATTGCCACATCTTTCCGGCACGCCTTTCCCTATCAAGTAAAGTAAAATCACGATCGCAAACCGCTTATTTTCAAAATATTTTTTTTTGAAAAGATAACTAGATAAAATCATTAGATGTTTCTCAGCATCTGAAATGGAATTATAAGGATATCGTTAGGGTGTCCATATTTTTTTATAACGAGAAAACTTAAGTAATCGCTATAATTTAAAAACTCTACTTTTTAACACATAACACGCAATAACTCAAGAACCACTTTAGATATTGAAACTTTTTTGTTTTGAAGTTCGGATCTTTTACAAGATGTTTATATGAAACAAATTCGATAGGCTTGTTTTTTCCATTCAAAAATTAAAAAAAAACGTCCATTTACTTTTACAGCGCTTTCAGATGTAGCGTACAGTCCGCGTGGAGCGTCCGCGACTTCAAGTAAGTACCATGAGTTTATATGAACAACATCCGGACGGAGCATACCATATGAAATTGTTCATATAAACTCATGGTACTTGTTCGAAGTCGCGAACCGGATACCCCGCGCGGATGGTCTGTTCCATCTGAAAACGCTGTTACTGCATAGTAATTTTCAGCAATCGTGTAACTTTTTTATTTGTAAAGATTTTCATACTGCTACATACTGTCTGCAAAAAAATATAGCAGAAATATTAAGAACGTTTTTGAAAAAAACTACAATCAATAATTATTTCTAATGGATTTCGATATATCGATTTTTGAGTTCTAATAGCGCGACCACTGTCGAACACCAACTCAATTCCACTTATATTTACCGACAGTGCAAGTGTTTCTAACTTGAACTTAAACATTTACAAGCTACAGGGAAAATTACAACGACTCGTTAATAAATAAAGAAATAAAGTAACACGAGACGTAATTAAATCGTGAATCTGAACGCATTATGTATACCCTCCCTAAAATGTTAAGTACTGAGATACTGCGCGACGAATCTGCTATATCCCCTTCCACGTCTCTTAGCAATGTACACAGATTCTTGGTTTATTTCGTACGTTTGGCAACGTTTTTACTGTGCCCTCTTTGTTCAGTACATTATAAACGCATTGTACTCTTCTTACATACGGAAATCTCGACCCAAAACAAACCTTTGCCAGCCATTAGTATAAACGCGAATTGAATATCGCAAAATAAAACTTCTTTTATTTACGTAGTTCATATATGTAATAGCAAAATTCGCAATTGACGAGCTTAGAATAAAAGGGGTACAAATGAATTTTTATTCTAAATGGACTTAAGTACAGATTTAGGCACTTTAGGTACCAATTTATTTCGTATAAAAGGAAATTAAGTAAATTAATCATTCTACTCTTTAGTGCCACTGCAGAATACACCATTTGAATTCCATTTTATATTAAATAAATTGGTACCTAAATTATCTAAATCTGCATTTGGAAAAAAGTCACTTGTACCCCTTTTATTCTAAGGGCCTCAATTAATTCTAGGGATATTTATGTTTTTAAACACATGTTGAAAATGGAACTTGAATGAAGAATTTTATTTTTGTCTCCATCCAGTTGTCATTTTAGCATATACATAGGTTTATATGTATAAGTATATTTTTGTGTAATGGATGAAGCTACACTCATTTTTGGCGTAGAAGACAATGTATGGCTGTATATTTATTAATAAAAAACGACAAAAATATAATAAATAGAACAATTGGAACATGTCAAATATTTAAAAAGTGAAAACAGCAAGGAGCATATCACAATTTAGTGAAATAAATGATGAAAAAAAAAATATAAAATAAACTCTACCTGTATGTGAGCTTTGTACAAGTACTGAGGACTAGTGAACTGAGACTTCTTTCCTACAACTTCCGAAAATATAATGCTCTGCTCAAACAAAAACACTTGTAGTTCTTTGTTCTTTCCAACGATGGCTTGATTGATTCCTGGAAGGTCTGATACAATCAGCAGACCGTGTAGAAGTAACTTCCCTTGGGCTGTTATTTTTCCAGACTAAAAACAAATAAGTAAAATTACAAGAGAAGTGTTGTAAATAAAATAAAGATCATACTTCAAACCCTTGAAGTCTTCCAACATCCATCATGTCGTTGGCGTTCTTTGGAACCACGACCATGATGCTATAAGCAGCTCTCAGTGGATCTATTTCATTTTGGATACCGGCTCTTTCTGTGTACTTTAAAATGTCTTTTAGCATGAGCTGGTACTTCATTATCCTTTGTACTGGTTTGATCAGTAGGTCGCAAAGCTGAAGTTTGTGACCTACAAGCGACATAAAATATGAAGTTTATAGAAAAACATATTTTTTATAAAAAACCAACTCACCAAGTTTGACCCTGAGCTCTTCAAAGTAGTTATCGAGATGTTCTGCGACGATATATTCAGATATAGGTTTGTTCTTGCAGTATATCACGTACATTTGTAACTTCCTCTCGTACCTTCTAAATAATTGGGCTAGTTCTTCAGGGTTCTCTACAGCAGCTTTTAGGGATTTGAGAAAATGACTGAAAAAATACAGAACAACTGATAAATTAAATATTAAAGAAAGAATAATAGAAAAATGTGAACAGTGGTATCTTTCATTTTAATGCACACGTTACAATTTTGCACAAATTTAATTTTCTGATATTTTTTAGTTTTCTATTGAAAATTTTATTTTTATGATATTAATTTTAGACGAACCTACTAAGAATCGTTTATTTTGTTGAATAAATTCTCATTACTTAGTAAAATACTTTAAATAAAAAAAGTAATGATTTAAATTATCACATACTTTTTGTGCCAGTCATAGATGGCTTCGATATTCCCGAACACCATCTTGTCTTTGCCTTCGCGCAGATCGTCCGGCATGGGGATTTCACAGTCTGGGTCTCTCATGGTTGCAATATATCCATCTACGATCAAAGATAGGTCTCTGACGTACGCTTCTTCGGTATCTATCAGTTCTTGAAGCACGTAGTGCCTCTTCTTCAGCCAGGATTCGATTTTCTTCGCATTATCCACTGCGTCGATCTGTAAAATTGAATATTTATTTATTGACAAAGATAAACCATTTTATATTTATAAATCAAGTATAAAAGACATATATAAGTATCGGGTGCGTCTCAAAAGTTGCTCATCCCTATAACTTTTTTATTTTTTCAGATAAAAAAACGAGATTTGGTATGTTAGTATATGAAATAAATTAGGATTGATTGACGTATTCAATTGTTTTTGGACACTTCTTGTTTTACCGGAAATGACTCCAGCTTTTGATTTTTAAATGACACCATCAGTATTTTTTACTTTATTCGATAGAAAATGACACTGAATAGAATGACATATCATACGTCAACTTTTGACATTTTCGCATATGGTTTATTTGAAATTGTAACATGCGGATCATAACGACAATTTGACTCGAAATACCAAGTGTGTGGTACCAAATTATTCTTAAAAAAATGCTTTTTCCAAATATGCTAATGGGCCACCCTCGTTCCATTTTAAAAAATTGAGATATGATTACAAATAATGCAATTTGGGCATCTTTTAACCGGCCAGGACAATACACTAAAAACATTAGACGATCAAAACTATTTTGCCAAGACTCATTGATTCAAAATTAGTGTTTTTAACATAGCACTCTAGATAGTAATTTAAAATATTTTTTTTAAGCGAGAATGTCAAAAGTTGACTTATGATATGTTATTCTATTCAGAATGTCATTTTCAGGTGAAACAGGAAGTGACCGAAAACAAATGAATACGTCAATCAATCCTAATTTATGTCATACACTAACATACCAAATGTCGATTTTTTATCTAAAAAAATAAAAAAGTTATAGGGGTGAGCCACTTTTGAGACGTACCAGGTATAAATATATAAAAGCTTGAAAAGAAACAATATGCAAATACAATCTGATTTTTGATCCACTTTTGAAAAACACATCAAGTACCATATGATCAAAAAAAAAACGGTGTCAAAGACGGCTGGGAAATGACAATGGATGATAATTTTAGCGGGGTCAATCTCTGATTTACTAAAAATTGACATAAAACTACAGTATTTAAAAATAATTTTTAATCTATACATAAATAAGTTACAAAGCCTTCTTAAAGCCGACTGACAGTAAACGCCATTAAAAAATAAAAAAAGTATGGGCCAAATAAAAGAGGTCTAGGGCTTGACCTCACCAAAATTATCATTGATTGTCCTTCCACAGCCGTCTTTGACACCGTTTTTTTCGGTCGTATGGTATAATCTGTAAAACACTCTTAAAACACTGTTAAAAAAACTTAAAAAAAAAACATTTTTAAAATAACAAGATAAATAAACCATAATATGAAATTCAGAGTGTTAAATAATGTTCAGGTAATCAGAGGATTGATAAACAGTAATTCTGCTATACCTGTTTATCGCTCTCGTCGCCGCTGAAGGCTAGAGAAGCAGCTTCGTTCGAAGAGCACTGAGCCGAAAGGTCTTTGTGCTGACCGTCCAGGCCGAAGTCGGACAGCGCTTCGGAGCTGCGCGTGTTTCTCAGCGCGGAATGTCTTTCTTTATTTTCCGAATGTTGTTCCTACAAGACACAAGGTCACTGTAGAGTTTAACCAGCAGGAATGTATCAAGAACATGCACTGATCGAAATGACGAGCTAATATCTATCTAGGGCAGAACGGCCGCATGCAAAATCAAAATGCTAAGCTAAACAGGAGGGGAAAATACGACAAGCATATAATAAGGATACTCTACTGATAAGATAAAATAGAAAACACACAACGTATTATAATACTGAAAAAAACATTCCAAAAATACATATAGGTGACTAAGTTTTCGTTAAGAGAAATTCTAATAAAATCACAATATACCAAATATTTCTCTTTATTGCAAATTTCGCTAACCATATTAGACACTTCAGAGTTTTAGCTAAATGGGAGTCAGTCCATAGATGAGTTTCCAAAAGGGAATAGGTTATACAACATTCTCTATGGCTTTGAACCCATTACATTTAAATATTTTGTTTTTTAAGATGGCTATTGATCTATAACACTACAACCTGTTCAAATTTATTGTGATCCTTATCTATTCTCCAGATTACATTTTCCAGTCCTATCCTTTTCAAATATTCCAATGACTTGGAGACTGAACCTCCCATATTCTGTACCAATGGTTTTTCATTGCCTAGTACGAAGAACTGCACATTTACCAGGCTGTCATCGCACTGAAATAGAATGTGTTCTCCCCTTTCTTTTTCTGACTGACAAAATATGCGCATTTCACAATCACATCAGCTTACTTATTGAACTTACAATACCAGTTAAGTAGAGTCACTACAGTTTTAATAGTTTTCTTGTCTTAAGTAAGTCTCCCACTACAGTTTTAATAGTTTTCTTGTCTTAAGTAAGTCTCCCATCCCCGCTAAAAGGTCTACGGTACAAACAATACAGGGCCACATACGATACGGGGTATTGTAACTAAACGATTAGATTTTTACAAATTTTAAGTTTTGGGTTCGTTGAAGAACTATTAGAGCTACAATTTAAAAATATTTTTACAAGATACAGAGTGTCCCAAATAAATAAAAAATATCAAAGTTTCTACGATTAAAATAAAGGTAAATTTGATTAAGGTTTACCGCATTTTAGTCTTACCGTTTTTGAAGTATTTACCTTGGTCAAAATATAGTAACAATTTTAAGGCTTCATTTCTCTAGGCGTATTTAAGTTTTTAAAACCAAATATTGTACTGAAGTTTTTTTATTATTAAATTTTGCTTTGCAATAATAAAAATTATACAACCTTAGTCTAAAATAAAAATTTTATGTTAAATAATTACTAACTTTAAACGGCAATAACTTCTTTAATTTCAATGGAACACCCTGTGTATTTTACGAGAATCAGAGGCACAATTTAATTGTCTATCAAATTGTATTATACCATTTTTACCTGTATATAATTTGTTGTTTTTACCTTGTCTTTTTTAATTTAGACCTTATTTATCAATTTTAGATTATTTTTAAAGATGTAAGAAATTTTCAAAGAGTACAGATACTAATATTGTCGATATAATTCGCTTATTTCATTAAAAAAAGTAAATAAGAAACTAATTAAATATTTGTTCAAGAGGACAAATAATTAATATGATCCCATAACTACAGTTATATTGACTGTTTGCGTTGATTAATAATAATTGCTCCAAATACTAAAAAATGAATTGTGTATGTGTATTAGACAGTGTGGGAAAAGTAACACCTTATAAATTTTATTTCATTTTTTTGACGAATACGTAGAGCTGTACCTCTACGCCACGAGGCACCACTAATCATTCTAACATGGTTCTTCTTCTTCTGTTGCAGATCCAACAATGGATGTTCGCGATCACATTTGTCGGCTCTTCTTTATTTCGTATTGTATGGATTAAGTTCTTCCATTGTGCTCAGTCCCGTCCACGAAGCCAAGACATTCTCTTCTTATCGACTCCTCTCTTTCCTTCAATCTTTCCTTCAACATGATCTCTCGTTACGTAGGTACAACGTGACCTAGATATGATGCTTTTCGTTTCAGTTCGCGGTCTTTATTGACCATTCTCAAGACCTCATCGTTTGTCCTATTTGCAATCTATGGAATCTTTAGTATACGCCTATAGATCCACACCTCAAATACCTTAATTTTGTTCATAGCTCACACCTTTAGTGTCTAACATGGTTAAAGAAATGCATTTATAGAACAGTACAATTGTATATTGTAACAAAAATACGTAAAGGATTCCCAATACTGCCACGAAGCTTTCGCTGTATTTATGGTAGCAATTATATATGATAGCATAACTATTAAGTTTCGTGTCTGTGTGGGATCCATATTATTTTTTTTTCAAATTCAAACAAAGATAATATACAATTTAAAGTAAATAAGACGACAAAAATATTCTCGCACCATTCGTTCTTTGACGATCTGTTCGATTTCTGCGAGATCGGCTGAAGTAGCTCCCTCTAGCGACTTTATAGTTAGACCAGAGACCTGGGGAAGAAAGGATGAAGATAATAGAATAGATGACAGAGATGCTGTTTAAGGCTGTTAGCAGATACAGGGCAGACTAGGTAAGTATCAGACCAGGATGCTTTCTCCTGGTCTCAAACTCAAAAATTTCAGTTTAAATACATACAAATGAACGAGATGACAATTGGTTAGTTTTAATTTTACAATCCAAAATTTACTGAATTTAAGTCGGCAATAACCAAATCAATTTCCATATCATAAATTTATTATAATAAATCAAACACGATCATGTAACAAAAGACACCTTTTATTTGATTCTTCGACAATATACCAACTAGACGTTCTTATTGGAATCTTGGGGCTAACATAAATCATGATGTAACGCTAACGCGAAATAAGAGAAATAAACATTCTATTTTTGTTAGCGTCAAACATAAACATTGCATTGAACTACAAAAAAAATCATAAACATTTGTTTGTTAGCGAAGAAGCTTTATTAGACCTATTAATTTTAATATTAAATCTTCATAACTGAAGAATATTAAAAATATGTATTTCAAATCGTTTTTTAAAGATATGTCTAGTTGGTATTTATGTACAGGGTTTTCAGAGTTATCTAATGCCATACCTGCAGGCTGACCTGTATTAGAGGTAGTAAAAAACTTTAAATGTAGAATTTATTAATGGAAGACCCTGTATATTATTAAGGTTTTTTTGAAAGACCTTTTCTTTCCCATTTCAAATATAATATCTATAGTTATACAGGGTGAGTCTTAAATAAGGACAAATATTTTTAGGGGTAGTATATTTCGACCGCAGATTTTTTTTTGGTTTTTAGTTAAAAAACATAATTTCTTGATAATAATATGGCAACATAGGTAGTAGATTAAATTAACAAGAAAGAAAACCCAGAAAATATCCAGTGGTTCTCAAAATTTAAGCAATAAATATATTTTTTTAGAAATTTTCAAATTAAAATAACTCGGTTATTTTGGAGATATTTGAAAAACGTTAAAGAGAAAATATGTTTCTTTTATCGAGATCTACCAGCCCTGAAAATATTTGCACTTATTTAAGACTCCCTGTATATTTGCGTGAACCGTTACTACCAAGAATAGGAATAGGTAGCCTACAGGTATCTATGGCACTAAATATACCTGAAAACCCTGTACACAGTTCAATGTTTGGTTCATTATTTGTAAAAAAAATGTAATAAAAAATGTAATAATTATTACTATTCGTGTACAAATAGGTAATACTATTTTTATCCTATTCCTAGAATTTTATATCAATTCAATAAAAAACAATTAAATGTCATGAAACAGGGCACAACTACAGTAAACACTTAATTTTGTTAATTTAATAGGTTTCCTCAACTTTAACCTTTCCACGTACAAAAAGTACGCTGGAATAAATATTATTTTCAGTTCAAAATATTATTCCAGAATACTTGTTTACGTGTGTACGTGTTCATACCAGTATATATCAATCAAAGTGCCTGTTTGTATGTGTTTTGGATGGGTTATTAAAGATGTATATGATGTGGGTTATAATGGTATATGAGAGGATGTTACGATGAAATTTATCTCAATATTTATGAAATTCTATTAGATATGAAGCAACCATCAATAATAATACTGTACTAGGATCAAAATAGATAATAAATAAAAGCGGCTATAACGCTACATGTTATTACATTTGTTTTTGTTATATTGTGACTAAAATGTATTAAATATTACTTTTTTCTCTAAAATATTTAATTTTGAGTATTGTATTATTGATAATACAGTACTAAATATAGTACTGGATTATTTGAAATAAAATGGTAAAAACTTTTAACTTATAAGATAAACAAGTATGTTTAAAAATAGGTAATTTTCCCTAAAACAGCCTCTACACTATGCGGAGAACTCTTCGAAGCAGGTCAAGGTCGCGTTTCGTCGCCCAACTTTATCGCATTTCTGTTTATTTCCAGTTGTCTTGACCCACTTCGGTTTGCCTCGACCTACTTTCGATTCTTAAAAGCGCCTGAAAATTACTCGCGAGGAGGGCGTGGGGGGATTTCTTTTGGCGTTTCCTGTTGTCTCGTTCAAATTTGTTTCGTTTTGAGCTATTTCCAAAACGTGGCGGTATCTGTACCCGAGGCAAAAGACTGTTTTTCATAAATTTCAGTGAAATAAGTAAACCTAGACGTTTCTAAAATAGCTGTTCTTACGATGATATTTTAATTACATCTTGTTTTATGTTGATATATATTCCACAAGATTAATATTTGAACACGCGTTTAATAATATATAGAGTAGAGAGAATATAATTACAACATGTTTATTATTTAATTTTATTATAATGAATTAGTATATAAAATTGTATATGTTACGTTTGTTTACACGGCCTTAATTGATTAATATAAGAGTAGTATTGCTTGATGAGTAATACTGGTAACATCATCAATATATCGAGCTGATTGGGAAGATTATTGATTGACCCGACGACAATAAAATATACTTTTATATATAATAATAACATGGTTTGATATAAATCCACTGAAAAATAAGAAATAATTAGACGATTTTTTATATATTTTAACTTCGTGGATTATAACCTATAAAAGGCGGACCAGCAGAACAGTTAGTCACCGCGTATTGCCCTGCAGTTTTACGATTTTAAGTTTTGGAAATATATTTTTTACTATATTATAATAAATAATGTTAGACAATGATTGAAACTAAATATTCTTGTGTAACCTTAGAGGAATAGCCAATTTAATCTACCGTCGGTAATTGTTTTCTAAATGCACTATTTTGATTTTTCGTTACAGTTTAATATAATGATATTACATTACACTCCATTACAAATTAATGATATTTATTCATACTTTGTGTTTACTTATTCATACATGTGTTTACTTATTTTTCTGAAGCCACTACAACGTTTGATCTAGAATCGTGCTATTTCACAAGATAGTACGATAAATATAAGCCCGTGTTAAAAATTAGTTCCCACGTTTCAATCCTGTAATCACAGCGCGTTTCGATCAATTTCAGGAAACGTGGGAACTAATTTTTATAATACGGCCTTATATTTGAGTTTACTTCTGAAAGTATTTCCAGAAATGTTTTGCGAAATGTTTTACGAAATATTTATGCATAGTGTAGAGGCTGTTTAAGAATTCTTAATCTGAAACAACTCACAATAAAAAATCCATTATCTTCTCTCAACTCACCCTTTTTCCAGGATTCTCTTCTATTTCCGGCACCCCCGGAACGCCAGGCGGCGCTTGCGGCACCAGAATGGGTTCCTGGATCGGTTTCATGGGCGGGGGTAGTTCGCATTCGCCCTCGTCACCTTCGTCGCCGTTGGTGATCTCGGAACCGAGAGATTTGGCACCTTTAAGCGGAGCGGTTCTGTCATCTTCCTCTTCGCCCTCGGACACGGACGATTTGTTGTTGCCCATGTCTGTCGTGGGAACCTGGAACAAAGAAAGTATTAATATTAATTTTGTTGCTAAGAGGATACTTAATTTTACAATAAAATATAAATACTGAAATTTGATGTAATTCTTGCTTAAATAACTAAATGACTAAATTCAACTCAATGACTAAAGAATACAAGGACATGTAACGCCCATATACGGGCTGCAGCAGAATTTGTAACTTTAGATACCATTTTGTTGGTGGCAACGAATGAGTCATCAGCTGGTCTACAGCGACAATTTTAGTGTTTTTTAATAGTTTATGTGTAGTGAACATTGTATAAATTTTATTACAATGGTGATTAGTTGTTCAGATTTCAAATGTAAAAGCTGCAGCGATAAGAAAGAGCCAGGAGTTACGTTTCTTACGTAAATAAACAGTCCACTCCACCTTTTTAGCGTTTTCTTGGTATTGAATTCGATAATTATTTTTCTGATATTATATGTTCTTGATGTGTGCTATACGTCGATACTAGTTTTGTACCTTTTGTTAGCATTTTAATACGTTTTTATTTCGTAATTAATTAGTATGACACCACCTTATACACCATAGGCGTAGTCAAAATATTTATCAAAAAATATAAATCTCTCTTCAAACAACTAAGTTAAGAAAAATATGTGCCACGGCACTGTTTGGTGACATGGTATCAATTTGCTCTCAGGTGTTATTTGTCCTTGGATTCTTTAGTTTTTTGTACCTTTTGTTAGCATTTTAATACGTTCTTATTTCGTAATTAATTAGTATGATACCACCGTATACACCATAGGCGTAGTCAAAACATTTATCAAAAAATATAAATATCAGCAGCTAAGTTGAGAAAAATATGTGCCACGGCACTGTTTGGTGACATGGTATCAATTTGCTCTCAGGTGTTATCTGTCCTTGGATTCTTTAGTCGTTAGTTTAACTATTACAATGGTATCTCTAATATATAAAATGTTCGTGTCACAGTTTTAGTTACCATACTCCTCCTTCGCAACGGATTGACCGATTTTGATGAAATTTTATATGTATATTCAGTAGGTTTAAGAATAGGTTGTTATATCTTTTTATACCCCTAAGTGATAAGGGTGGTCCACCCCACTTTTTTTTATTCTCTGAACAATTTTATTCTTTGGACTATTTCGCTAACAGGAGAAAAAAAGTCAGTGGTGTACATGCTTTTTTTAGAAAAAACATGCCAGTGATAGGGATATCACTGGAATATTTTGATAACCCTATCATCTATTTTATAGAGTTATATGGGTATATGCACGTCGCTGGTGAATATGTCGACGTTTTTTAGCATTAAAATATGTCTCACTTATAGTAACTTGTACCGGCAAAATTTCATTCGAATCGCTATAAGTACTTGAAAGGAAATTATAACAAATCGAAAAGATATTAAAACTATATCCTCTTGTACCTACGAAACAAAGCAGAATCGGACCTATATTGATATGAAAAATAAATCTTATTTTTACGTCAGGAATATCCCCACCAGAGGTAGCACATGTTTTGTTGAAACATCCTGTTTAAATATAATAATCAATACGTGTCAACATAATATTCAAATTACTTGTTAATAGCTTCGAAAAATACGATTACAATAAAATCGAAACATAGACATAAACTATCATAAAAACGATTAACGGTTTTATGTTATGTAGCTCTATGTATGCCATGCCAAATGAAGAAAACTAATTTGTTACACAGCAAAGCCGCAAATTTATTGGTTCATAAAATTAAATAGGCTGTTGGTAATTTCATTATTAAAATGTAGCAATAAATATATACTTAATAACCAGTGTTTATTATGTCTATCTATGCGTTTAGATAAAAAAAGACATATACATATACATATAAGAAACTATAAAATTGATTTTTATTAAGGTTACAAGATAGAGTAAAAACGTTTCTAGCCAAGATCAAACTCTTTTCAGTGATATTTTGTTCAATAAATGTTTTATTTTCTAGAGACTAAAAAAAGAGGAAGTATACAATTTAGTCATTTTTCAGTAGCTTTTTTCCTAAAAATTTATCAAAGAAAATTCCAACACTTAAATCAATTTGTGGCGAGTTGAGGTGATTAACAAGAAAGGCGTTTTACTTTCTGGTAATAAAGATTGCAACAGCTGATCTGTAGCTTTGATTTCCGCTTGCGCTGTTCAGCCTATTGCCGCAACTTCGGTGTTGCATGCGATAAAACAATTAAAGTAAAAGACGGCTTTAATGTTTGATAGTACAAAGTGACACAATTCATTTATTTATTAGTAGAATGCATGTAAACAAATAAAAATTTATTTAATTCGAGTTGTGGGAAAATAAAACTATAGCTTCTTCAGATGACAAAGCTGAACTATTGTAGCTTTTTCAAAATACTCATAACCTTACCAAACGAAGAAAACTTATTTTATATTTTAGAAAGTTTGGAATAGAATTTTCAACAGCCTGTATGGTTTAAGATTGCGATATTTATAGCAAAGTAAGTACAAACCAACTATAGTAAATATCTAGTATAGTTTTGATTTCAGGTCATTTCTTTTATGCATTTTTAATATTTTTTTTAAAGGTTGGAAAATATATTTTTTGTTTATTTATTAATATTTCTGAAACTAATCAAAACATATTTAATAATATCTTAGGATTATGTAAAGTGATCAGAAAAAAAGTCAAAAAATTAGTTTCATTTTGATGTTCCATTTAAAAAAATTAGCACATGTCCGGATTTTAACAACGTCCGGGGGGTCCGGGAGGATTTTTCATAAATGTCCGGATTTTAATGTTCCATTAAGAAATGTCACTATAATGAAAAATAATAAACTAGTTTTAAAAAATGTGCAGAGTTTTTTAAAAAATCGTAGATTAAGTGTTTAGCAGTGTAAATTCATTTTATTACTTTGTAAGTTTCGGGTTTTGGCTTATTTTTTTTATAGTGAAATTAATAAAATAAAAATGGTAACATCATCAATCTGATATATACCGTGCTGGCAACTGTTACTTTTGGGTTGGCATTTACATGTGTGGAAGTAAATCGCATAGGGATCTTATTAAGTCGGAGTGAGAGAAATGCGACCGACAGAGGCGACGCGCGACGGTGTGTTGTTGCGGCGTTGCCGATACGCCTTTCCCTATCAAGTAAAGTAAAATCACGATCGCAAAGCGGTTATTTTTAAAAGACTTTTTTTCAAGAGATAACTAGATAAAATCATTAGACATGTTTCTGAGCATCTGAAATGGAATTATAAGGATATCGTTAGGGTGTCATTTTTTTATAACGAGAAAACGTCAGTAATCGCGATAATTTAAAAACTCAACTTTTTAACACATAACAGGCCATAACTCAAGAACCACTTTAGATATTGAAACTTTCTTTTATTTTCAAAATCGGATATTTTACAATATGTTTACATAAGAAAAATTCGATAAGGTTGTTTTTTCCAATCAAAAATTGTAAACAATCCATCAATTTACTTTTAGAGCATGGCAAATTTTCAGCAATCGTGTAATTTTTTTATTGATAAAGATTTTCACATACTGTCTACAAAGAAAATACAGCAGAAATAACAAACTTCTTAAAAAAACTACAATCTATTATTTCTAATAGATTTCGAGATATCGATTTTTGAATTCAGAGTTCTAATAGCGCGACCACTATCGAACACCCACTCAATTCCACTTATTTTTACCAAAAATGCAAGTGTTTCTAGCTTGCACTTAAAAAAATTCAAGCTATAGAGAAAATTACAACGACTCGTTAATAAATAAACAAATTAAGTATCACGAGACATAATTAAATCGTGAAGCCGAACGCATGACGTACATGTTTCCCTAGAACTTTAAGTACTGACAGAGGTATTGATTGGGTCGACCGGTCAACTGCGACAAATCTGCTAAATCCCCTTCCACGTCTCTTAGCGATGTGCACAGTTTCTCAGTTTATTTCATACGTTTGGCAACGTGTTTACTGTCCTCTCTTTGTTCAGTACATTATAAACGCATTGTACTCTTCTTACATACGGAAATCTCGACCCAAGACTAACCTTTGACAGCCCTTAGTATATAATAGGTAATGTGAAAAATGCTCCTTTGCTAATAATTTATTATAACGTCCGGATTTTTTTGGAAGGCTTGTCCAGGGTGGACAGGTTTCCTTCTGGTAACCCTATAAAAAGCCAGTATTAGAATACTGAAGGAAAGCGATAACAACTACTCAAAGGGATAACTGAGCAAACATTTTTAGTGAGTAGATAAAAAGCCTCCCAAATAACCGAGCCACTTTTGAAACTAAAATAAAAATAAAAAATTAATTTCTTCTTTCGAAAAATAAATAACTGCATGTAGATATACTAAACACCATTTAAAACACCAACCACCAACATTAATCTATACTTCTTACATAATTCTTCACCCTGGACAAGCGCCTTAGAAATCGCATCACTTTAGTTCAATAAAAAAGACAACTGTCAACTATAAACTGTCACTAAACAAGTCACCACACTCCAACTAACCAAACTGTACTGAAAACATATCTAGCTGAAACATCAAACCGCAAATATCCTCCAAAGATAACGCTCCAAATTACTTACTAAATAAATAAATTTTAAAGGGAATGATTCATTGTTCGTTCCGATAAAAGTCCGAGATCTTTTTACTGGAATTCCCAGCGAGGAAATTTGTTCTCCGGATTTTCTCGGCGCGCCGTACAACAGGAGTCGAGATAAATAATCTTTTTCCCAAAAAAATTATCCGTTGTTTTTGGTGCCGTGGGATACGTTTAGGAATATGTATATAGACATGGCGTAGTATGTCTACTATAAAACGAACCATATCGTCCCCTCGCATTGGTAAATTTGCCAGGAGAGAAAAAAATTCACAGTCCTTTACAAAGATGCAACCGGGGGGGCATTGAAAATGATGAATAAAAACGTAAAAATATGATTAGTGTTAATATATGAGTGTATTACATACATATGTTTAAATAACGAACTTAACAAAAAACAACTGATTTAAAGAT